TCGGCTTCCCGCCTTCGTTAGCTGCCACGTGTTGTCGGAGGCTCGCCCATCTCCTCGTGCTTCTCACGGATCCGGCCACGGATCTGGCCGCGACCTCGCCCTGCGAAAAAAAGAAAAGAAAAAATTTCGGTTAAAAAACGAATCTCGATCCCCTGATCTCTCGTGATATACGATTATATCGTGCTCGTTTTTAACTCGATTTTACGCGACGTGTGTCTTAGAGATTCTTCACGAGTTCCATTTTGATGTTGTTCGAATCTTGTCGGGCATCCATCGCCCTCGAATCGATTTCTTACGCTTGAAAATATGTCATGTCGTTCAATATGTTCACAGGTTTTTCTCTAATTTTCTCTAATTTTCTTAATGGATACGATCGAGTTCAAAATCAAAATTGAGTTCATTTATTTTATTTTCTTTGAGATATTTAATTTTATTTTATTTTTTGTTAGGATTTATAAATTTTACGAAATTTTTATAACAATACTTTGTATTATACGATTGTGGCGAATTTAAATTGGAGACACTGAATGTCTTATCTTTATATTTTGAATATAAGATTCATTTAACGTTTCTTAAATAATGTAGAAAGAAATATAGAAAGAAAATAATAATAAAGAAAAAAAGAGCTAGCTATTCACGGATCAATATTCGCGCTCTTATTAATTGGAGATAACGAAATCTATAAATAAAGAGATTGTCGTACAGTGGTTCGAAAGATAGGATCGAATTGGACAAAATTATTTTTTTTCGATTTTGAGGTTATATGGAGATTTGATTTTTAGAAAATATCGCTTTTAATTATAATTCATTATTTTATTGAAAATGTATATATAAATGTAAAAATATAATTAAATATAATAGAAAAATTTAACGTTGCATTTAATTAATATAGAATAAGAAATAACAAATAATCAATATATAAATAATATATAAATATATAGGGAAAATATATAATATAACTCAGAATGAAATAGAAAAAAAAATTAATAAATACTTAATAAAAATGAAAAGAGCGAAAGAAAATTATAATTTTTTTAATATACTAAAAAAAAAATAGATATTTCGAGATGTCATATCCATTATAAAATTAAAATTTAAACGCTTCTTAATAAATTTACAGAATATTTTTGTAACTATCGAAATGTGACCATCAGTCAGTTATCGATCGGTTCTCTGCCTATAAACGCGTATTTCGTTTAATCCCTAAACGTTTAGAAAGAGTTTTAACATATCATTATATTATATATTAAGAATGAATTTTTGTCCAATTTTTAATTCATTATTCGTCCACCACTGTGCCACCATGTGGCGCTGAGAGTCAAAAATTATAATTTTCTTTCGCTCTTTTCATTTTTATCTATTAATTTTTTTTTCTATTTCATTCTAAGTTATATTATATGTTTTCCCTATATATTTATATATTTATATATTATTTATTTTCTTTCTTATTCTATATTAATTAAATGCAACATTAAATTTTTTGAAAGCTTTTCAAGCAGTTAATAATTATTGATTCGTGAATTCGTGAAAAGGCGCCTTTTATTTTCTCTATTTAGAAATGGATTTCCATACGAAATCGTTTTATCATCTCTTCTTCGCCCGAAAAAGTGATGGAGCGCAAAGGGTTAAGAATAGAAGAAGATTCTATTCGATGGAAAATTAAGGATATCGCGTTGTTTCGTTATCGCGCAATGGGGGCGGTGGTGAGTCACCATCGGGGATGCTGATGCAATTCTTCGACGTCGAACGGGTGAGGAATAGCGATAGGGGAAAGCGATCTGGGGGAAAGGACCCGAATGAAATCGTTTAAGGAAAGTGTATAAATAGATATTACGTGATATTTTATTAACGTGTTCTGTCATCGAAAATTGGAAGATATGGTGTTCTTCTTGGGTATCGACTCTTTTTCACTTATGTAAGAATAATTATTGTAAAAGAAGTGATGATATTTGCTACATGAAAAATTCTACGTTCGAATATTGGAAGATATCGACTCTTTTTCATTTATGTACGAATAATTATTAAAAAGAAGATAAAAGAATTGATGACATTTGTGTTTGATATATGGAAAAATCTGCTATGTTCGATCGAATATTGGTTAATCAAATATCGATTTTTTTTTTATTTATGTATAATTATTGCCAAAGAACTAGTTATATTTGTGTTGAATATATGGAGAACTCTGTTACGTTCGATCGAAAATTGAAAGATATCGATTCTTTTATTTATATAACAATAATTATTGTAAACTGATGACTTTGAAACTAATATATGGAAAACTGTTATGTCGATCGAAAATTGGAAGATATCTTTTTAATTTATGTACGAATAATTATTGTCAAAGAACTAGTGACATTTGTATTGAAAGTTGGGTATATGGAAAACTTTATTCGAACGAAAATTGAAAGATATCTTTCATTTACGTAGGAATAATTATTGTAAAAGAATATTGGTGATTTGTATACAAAAGTTATGGAAAGTATGGAAGTTTAAGTATGGAGTATGGAAAGTTCTGCTACGTTCGATCGAAAATTGGAAGATATATTCTTCTTGGTTCTTTCATTTATATACGAGTAATTAAAGGAACTAGTGTTGAAAGTTTGTATACAAAAGGAAAATTGGTGTATGGAAAGCTCTGCTTCGAAAAATCGAAGAGTATATTCTTCTTCCATATTTCATTTATGTAATAATTATTGTAACTGGTGACTTGCGTTGAAAGTTGAGATTGCAATTGAATTGGAGAGCATCGGTTCATTTATGTACGAATAATTATTGTGAAAGAACCGATCACTTGAGAATGGAAAACTATTTGAAAATACATCAGTCGTAGAATAAGAAATCCTCGTGACTGCATTCACGCCATTCTAATAGGAATAA